ATGTGAAATAGTGTCTCCCTGGACAACTTCCTATTTGTATAATAAAATCCCTGTCCTGTCTACGGCCATGCCACCTTGAACAAGCCCTATCCCATCTGATCTCGGAAGCCAACCAGAGTCGGGCCTGGTTAGTGCTTGGAATGGGAGACCACGTAGGAAGACCAGGTGCTGTAGGCGTAAAAAATAAAAAATAAGAGATTGTAAACTGACAAGGTCCTTGCAATCTGTGAAGTCAACCAAGGGTTGCATCTCGCGCGCGCGCGCACACACACACACACACACACACACACACACAATCCCTGTCCTAGAGATGACCCTAATTTCATCTTTTATGTATATTTGACAGTCACGGGTAGGTATGAGCAGTTTAAATCTTTGGTGGGTGGAATTCTGATGGGAAGCCAAGTATCTCTAATCTGAATTCAATCAAGGTATGTGACCATTGGTGGAATGATTTATTTTAATATTTTGCATGTATGACATTCTTTGTCCCAGCATTGGTGAGCCCATGTTGAAAGTTGAAATGATTGTTTTAGTCTCAGAGAGGTCACTGGGCATATAGAAAGAGTCACTGCAATATTGTCTTATTCCTAGTGACCCAGGTACAACTTGAGGAAATAGGAATCAGTCTGAGAAGGCATAACAGTAATGACCGAAGATGATAATTCCCCAATTTTAAGTTTGTCTTCTGGGGTCATAATGAAAACACCCAAGTTAGCTCATTTTCCTTGGGAAATTGGCACTTAGGCCTTTAACTTATCACCCCATAATTGTATGTTCTTTATAAAGTTTCCTCTTTCTATATCTTTCAGCTCTCCTCCTGCCTCACCCTCCCTTTCTCCTTGCCTTACAGTAATAAGTAAATCTGAAATACATTTTAACTTTCTCAATTAAGAATTCTATCAAACCTCATGAAAGGTAATCGCCATGCTAGAAATTATACCATGCAATTGTACTGAAAACTGGATATACCAATTTTGCTGCAGCCAGTAAACCAGAGAAATCATAGTTTTCACTAAAATTCCAATATTATTGACTCAAAATAGATGATCATCATCATAGTAGTCATCTCACTGCAATATCATTGTAAATAGTGCTGCATTTTGCATTTAGGAAAGTGTTATATTTTTGAAGAGAGTGATGCTGAATAAAAACTAGTTCAATAACACATATTTGATTCATAATTAAACCGTTTAAAAAAGATAGTTGAAAATAACTTACTTTCTTCAAAGTTATTGACAAACATTTTCAGACATTTACCATGGTCCTTTTGCTTATGGTTCCGAACTATGTCTTATGAACAATCTTTTGCATAAATATGGTGTCAGAACACCATCTCTAAAAAAAACAAAGCTTTACAAAGTTTGCCGGATTAAAAACATTTCATTTTTATTCTATTTAGGTTATGTTTTCCTTAATGAATTTTTTTCTTTTAGGTTTAATAATGCTTCCAAGAATGTTTATTATCCAGCATGGAATTATTACCAGACTGTAAAGTTGTTATAAAACTATTATTATAATTAGAATAACACTTGTGGTTAAAAAAAAAAAAAAGAGAGGAAAACATTTAAGAAAGCACTATTTAAATGCAGCTAATAGAGCTAAAAGAGACCATGGTGTGGGATGTTTTTAGGCTTTCTAAATGGATATAAATATTGTTCTATTAACTGACATGGTATTTGAGAGCCTTATATATCTATAAGTTTATCAAATATGTCTCTTACAGTCCTTTCTCTTAAAATATATGTAGATAATAGTAAATGGTTCCCCATTAAACCGAGTAGGAGCCTAGCCACGAGCACTTCTGCTTATCAGAAACTTGCCAGGAAAGGAACAAAATAAAATGAATGTGCTGCATATTTTGGCTATTGCATGTAAGAGTAAGAGTTAAACCCAAGGAATTTGGAGGCATACAGACCTGGATTATACCAACTCAGACTCCAATAATACGATTATCAATGTATAGATAGGTATAATCTATTTCTATACAAAATCTATTAGAGTAGGTGTTTTTTTTTTTTTTTTTTCTTTCCATCTCTTTAGCTTGTTATCTTAAAGTAAGGTTAAGCCATCTTATGTATTCAGACAAAAATTAAATTTCGTGTATGGGATATTCTTTTGTAATTCTGTTTGGAAATAGGGAGATAAGGTTAAAAAAAACAGACATTTGTGTGAGTTTTTGGAGATAACAAATCTTTAAATAAAATGGAAATAATGGCATTAAGTGTGAATCAACTTGGTAAATAATGAATGAAAAGACTAGTTACTTATCAGTAGGATTTGGTTACTTAATTTTCAGTACCTTGAGTAAATAACCACATGAATTAAATTGCTTCATGTAAGTTTCCCTCAAGATGAGAAAAACTTGCTTTACTTTGAGCCACTAACCTGCTTTACTAATTTAGCACTTGAAATCTGACTAGAAGAGGTGATCGTAGTGAATTTACTTTTGTATTTAGATCGTTTTCTTTCCCTTTTTCTATTTGCCCATCCGAATATATAGCTTTACAGTGTTCGAAGTGGTTGCTTAGACTCTGAAATAGATGACATGGAGTCAGTCCTTTGACATAAACATGGTCAGATGGTGACACACATAATTGACAATGCTTCACTGAGGCTACAGCTGTTTCTTTGTCTTCTCGTTAGTGCCTAAAGCTGATCTAATCAAGCCCGCGTGTGCTAATTAACAATGCCCAATTAGGTATTCTGCCTGGCTTTCAAGTTTTGCTGCTACAAAGCTCAGAAAGGAAAGCATCTCTTTCTTCTGGATGACAGGGATATAAAAATGCTGATGGCAATGGAATGCTGGTTATCCCTTTTAGAATTTGAAGAGATCACAATTAAAAATTTGAGTGAACCGTAAAAAGTGTGTTTTTCCACTTGATGTCTTAAAAAGAGAAATAGGAAATACCTTCCTATGTAGCACTCTTTTGGTTAATTGATGAAAATTATTACAATGATGATAGCTATCATACTTTGGTTATTATTATTTTTTTTAATGTGCCAGCTGTTGAGATAAGTACTTGACGTACTGTATTTCATTTATTTTTCACATCATTCTAACATTGTTGATTGTTATGGCCATTTTACAGATGGGCATGCTATTACCTTTCTGAGCCACAGTCTTTTCTTCTCTACAAAAGAAAAGATGGGCAGACTGAGAGATTGTAACTTGGGTCTGTTTAACTCCAAAAGTTGTTGCTCATACTCCTATTCTTACTTGCATTATCATAAATTCTTTTTACTTGTTTCCTTTCCTGGTGAGTTTCTGATAATGAGTGGTCATCGTAGCTTGTCTTGTACTCAGTTTGATGGGAACCCATTTATTATAAGACATGGTTTGACCGATGTCATGATGGTTCATATCCAAGGCAGAAACAATTGTTAGAGGGTATAGAATGCCACAAAGAAAGAGCTTATGTTTTTTCTTCTGAGAGAAAGTGAGCCCTGGTTGTCTGAGTGTAAGCAAATATAGGAGAAAAGAAGAACAGCTGATAAAGACAATGAACTTTAATAGTCTAACTATATCAGCTGGAGTGACTGTCTTACCCAATGTCTTCATAGTGTCAAACCCTTCTGTAGCTCCCATTGCCTTCATGATAAAACCCTCTGTGGCTCCCTCTGTTTGAACCTCTGCTTCCTTGTCTATGGGTGACAACATTAACAGCAATAGCTGAAATATCCAACAGTTATGGAACTCTCACTTTACATGAGTTGTGGCAGATATCAACGTTTTTTTCATTTGTTTCGTTCTTTTTTTTACCATCTTTGTCCCAGTGGAAATAATCCTTTTAAATCTTTACAATATACAAAAGTAATAAATGAACTAATTGATAGTGGCAGTAGTCTTTCATTAATCATATCAATTTTCAGGCTCTTGGGATAAAGTATTCACATACATTATCTGATTTAATTTTTAAAACAATCTTCATCGTCATTTCACAGTCAAGCAAACTGAGTCTCAGAGATGCTAAATAACATGACCAGTTTTTCAGAGTTAAGTAAGGGGTGAAGCCTAGATTGAAAGCTGGGTCTGCAGATTCTAAACCAGAAAACTATTAGAGCTTTATAGAAGATTGTCAAGCTTAGTTCTCTGATTTTAGACAAATGAATCACAGAGGATGCTAGCTATGTCCCGAAGATGTATACTATTTGGTTTATTAAACATATTTGATTTGAGAGCTGCCTTTTTTTTTTTCTTTTTGGTGGTTGGGAGGGAAGCTCTGCTGTTTGCTGAAAGCCCAGTCTCTATCACTGGACTGCTTTATACACCCATCTTTCCTGCCAAGCCTGTAAAGATATCTGAGTTTATGACTGTGGTCTCCAAAGTCAAGAACAGACAGTTCTCTCTTTCCTTGAGTGTGCTGGGAAAAGAAGATTACACAACCACTTTCCCCTGGGATGTTTTGTTACTCTGCCAACATTTAAAAAATTGTTGCTCGCTTTTAGTTTTAATCCATTTCCTCCTCCCTTACCCAGCCTTATCAATACATAAAAAAACTGCTCAGAAAACTATTGATTTCCAAGAATACAGTTATTAAATAGTCCCTTTGCATCTTGCCTTTAAACTTTTCCTCCACGTAATCCTGTGTTCTCTTTGATATCTCAGATGACTGACAAGTAGTTATCTTCTCTGACTGGCAGATTGGTGCCTCTGCCACATGGGAGTGTCATCAACAGTAAAATTAATACCTCCAGCCTGGATTTATTTAGCATCTTCTGACACTCAAAAGAGCAAAGGAGCACATGCTTTGCTTTCCCTTGGGATGATGGAGTATTAGATTAAACTGGTGGGAAATATTTGAATATGCTTGATAAACAGACTTTGTATTTAGGCACATTGATGTTTTTTGAAGTTCTTTATTGCCTTCATTTTCCAAGTTGGTGTGAAAGAGCTTTTGGAAATCATGTGTCATTGCTGCTTCCCCTGTTGCTTAAAAGGAAAAAAAAAAGAAAAAAGAATTTAAAGTCAACTACCCACGCTGGATTTTCTTTTTCAGATGCAAAAGAAATTGTTTTAAAAGCCCAGATCTTAGCTGGAGGAAGAGGAAAAGGTATCTTCAGTAGCGGTTTGAAAGGAGGTGTTCATTTAACAAAAGAGTAAGTCTGGAGGTTTTAATTTCTTGTCTATGGACCAAGCAATTATGGAGATTTTGCTCATTGAAAGGAGTACTGAGTGAGAGGGTTGGGATTGGGGGTAGGATTAGTGGCTAGCAAGTAGAGGACACAAATTGCAGGTAGATTCTGGCAATGCCCCAGTTTTCCTTCTGCTCCCATGAAAGGATTTTTCTTCACTAATTGTTGAAAATTTGACACTTCTCTCCTAGACAATCAATGATTCCTTACAAATGTTGGAAACAATACCACTTACAAATTAAATACTGCTTCCATAATGTCACTTCCCTATTCAAGAACTGCAGTGGCTCCCAATTACCAGTGGCATCAGTTGTCCTTCCTGTCTGATACAGTCCAGGTTTTCCTTTATCTGAGCCTATCTATTCAGCTTTAGCTCCTATGTCTCCTAGCACTGAACACTTTCCTCTCCTCTCCTGTCACATACATTCATTTCTTTATGTATTTTGATGCTTACCCTCACCTTTATCCCCCTCATTGGCAGTGCTTCCCAAGTTTCCCACTATCGAGTTTTTGTTATTCAACTCTTGTCTAAATCTGTTACGCATTTCAGCATTGTCTTTACTATGACTAATTTATTTGGGAGAGGGATAGTAGAGATAAGCAAGCATCTTTCCTTTTCTTTTTTCTTTTCTTTGTTTCATTCATTCATTCATTCATTCATTCATTCATTTACATTTTGCTCTGTGAGACTCTGACATTGTGCTAGGCACATAGTATATGAGCAGAAAGTCCCATGGATTCTAGGCATGAAAGTGCACCCTGTGTGGTGTGGACAAGAGAATGTAGTATGGACTCTGCTTTAAAATGATTTTCAACATGAATGTTGATTTTCTTTTCTTCTTTCTTTATTAGCCCTAAAGTTGTGGGAAAGCTGGCTAAACAGATGATTGGATATAATCTAGCAACAAAACAAACTCCAAAAGAAGGTGTGAAAGTTAACAAGGTAATATAAATTCTTTTGGTCATTTTCTATGTATGTCTTAACAAAAAGAAAAAAAAATACTTCAATTTCGACAAAATCTTATGAAATAATGCACTTTGGTGATACGCTATTTTATTTTTAAACCTCATGTAATCTGTTTAGTATGTGGTATGACTTTGAGGAGAAATTAAAAGGTTCTATAATAGTAATATCACTTATTATCTCCACCGTGTAGTAAAAGTGGGTAAGGGTGAGTGAGTGAAGCAATAGCTTTCTCTTTCAAAACATAGACACATTCTGTTTAAAGCTGAAAAGGACTTGGTATGACAACTGTCATACTCCGTGAGGGGTATTCTCTCCTCTCCCACAGCCCCACCCTCAGTCCTGCATATTAGAATTACCTGATGTGGTTGTCTTACTAAGTGCACCTATTCCTTACTTTGAGATTGCTATCATTTTGAGCCACTGTTACTTTTGCAAGTATGTTGTATTAGCGAGGTATGTTGGGGCACCCAAGTGTGGATAGGGTACACACAAACGTTCACATACACATACACAACATGCACACATAGAGCAAAGTGACCTGTATCAGTCATGAACTTGAGTGGCAGAGCTGAGGCTAGAACCTAACTTTCCTCCTATCAGTCTGTTCACCTTCACTATGCCCCACTCGTGTATTGAGGCATCAGAACTTGCAAAATAAAATGTGAGGATCCTTGTTCAAATTTCAAGTCAGCTACAGCAGAGACCAAGAGTGGGACCCTTCTGAGTATGAGGCCCCATGCAATTACACAGGTCACACACACCAGCCCTGGGAATCACACATGGTTAGAAGGCCTCATCATAACCATGAATTAGGGCCCAGCGTTTTGGGAGGCAACTGTCTTCTCTGCTGACACGGCATCACAGATGACGATCTCCGCCAGTGTGCCATGCTTGGGGAAACTGAGACAGTACATTCTGGTTTTACTTTTCAGAGCATTGTGTGGAAAATTCTTGACATGACCAAAAAAAAAAATCACCAGCTGGTTGTTAGTGTACCATGAGAGGGTCTATCCTGTATCCAAAAAAGACGCTGAGCTGGAGGGAGATTGGAATATTGGCGATCATTAGCTCCTCCACTCTAAGGATACAAAGCCTTTCTAAATGTTAAGGACGCACACACACAAACTGGTTATGGTTATTTTTCTTTCCCATCACCTCTCAGGTAGATGCAAGAACTATTTAAAACTCAAAAGTGTTTTTTTTGTTTGTTTGTTTGTTTTTGTTTTTTAATTTGGTTTTGTTTAGCCTGGCACTGTACTTTTATTTCCCTTTTATATCTGCTTTTCCTCTGTGATTTCTGCAAAATTTGTCCACAGAGACCATGATTAGTATTTTTTGTTGGTAAGAATTCATTGTTTTTTTATGGACACTTGAGTTTTTAGATTAGAGTTTGTGATATGTTTTAAAAGTATATAAAATTACACAAAAAAGATTCACACTATACATACACACATAAAATTAGTTCGTAGATAGGTTCCTGAAATGTTGGCAATAAGTGCGTTCTTGTAAATTGAGTCATTGCCAGGAAACTACTAGAGTGATTTATTTTTAATAAAGAAGTTTATTTTTTTTCTGATTGCAAAATTGACTAACATATATAAAAAGTTCTAGTAGTGAGGAAATATAAAAATTAGAAAGTAAGAGTTCCTTGTATGTCTCACCACCCAGAAATAATTGTCATACATTGTTTCGGTCCTTTTTCTGTGTAAAATGTATATTACCACATTTGTATAACATTAACATTTCATATGACTTTAAGGAACATGCATTATTTTAGCTATAGATTCTTGGACATCAATCAGAAGTCCCTGGATTATACAAGCTTCAGATTACTAAATTAGTTTGAGAAGTTACTTGGACACATACATACATCTATACGTAATGGATATATTTTTTTTCTAAATCTGTGGCAATATGTTTGCACTGTGCTCTTTGAGATAGTAATAGTGGAGGTGAGGCAGTGATATTCATTGTGTGCTCCATGATTCAGTTCCAGTGAAGGGTACTGGTCCGCAATGAGATAAGTTCAAAAACTGAGAGTCTGCTTTTAATCTTACCTAATCACAATCATGTCACAAATAGTTTGTGCACTGCCATTTATCCATAGACCACAATTTGAGTAGCAAATATTAAAAAAAAGAAAACAGGTTCAGTGGTTGAATTAGCATTAAGTTAAAAAGCTTTCTATTGGAGGGCTCTGCAAAAAGGCTAAATTGATGATATCCTTTGTGTCAGCCACAGATGAAACTTTTTTGAAATACATATAACAGCTTCTCATGGTGTGAGTGTTTATGAAGTCTATTAAGATTCTCTCTCTGCAATAATTCCTAAAGTATTCTGACATCCTGGGTCATAGGATGGCATAACAATGTAAAAAAATTAATTTTCATATAAAATTTTTTGAATTACCTATTGATAATCATCATTTCCTGGGGATGGTTTCCTAAAGAGCTTGAAGAGTTTGAGACAGCAGCTAGTCTTTAAAAATAGAAATTTGATGGAATCCAAAGCACATCTGTCAACATTTTAGAATAAGTATAGGACTCTTGAATGATACTTGTCCTAAAAAGTTATAATGTTGTGATACTTCTAAGAATAACTAGTAAAAGTCATTAAGTCCTATTTATTGGACTAGCTCTGAATCAGAAAGTAAACTTGAAATCAGAGTGGTTCTAGGTAATCCTAATACCATATGCCAAGAAATATTTCTTACATACTCATGAGCTACCATTTATGGGAAAATAATTGATATGAAGCCCCTTGTAAGGTATTTTATTTTAAACTAGTGAAAAATTCCATAAAAGTTTGAAAAGGAGTTCTATTTTTATTGCATTATAGCTTTTTAGATTATCATATATTTATCCCATTTCATGTGACTTAAAACTTAGTAATTTTATGGCATGGGTAGCTAAAATCTAATATATTTATCTGTAACTCTTTTTTTTTGTGAAACCTATTATTAAACTAGTTTTAGGAAAAGCAATGTAAGTGCTTTTATTATTTTCTCTTCCAGTACTGATTATTTATAAATGTTGTTATTTTCTTTTAAAAATCATCCAACCCATCTTTTGCCATTCTTTTTGGGAGTGTAAATTGATGCAGCCTCTCTCTCCAGGGCAATTTGAGATTTTCTACCAAATTTTAAATACGAAGAGTCTAAAACCTAGTCATTTACTTCTAGGTACTTTATCTACAGGGATACAAAAACAAATGAGCAAAGATATATGTACAAAAATAATCACTGCAGTAGCATTTTAGAAAAATTGAGCCCTTATAAATGTAGGGACATTGCTCAATAAATTTTGACATAAAATTACCATATAGTCACAATAAAGAAAGAGGACCTTGGAAGGATGTCTAAGTTATAGTATTAAGATTAAAAAAAAGAAGAAGAAACAAAGGCCTGCAAGTATACATAATGTGCTTGCGCGTGCAAGATCAATCCATTGCTGTACTGCTTGCAGATGTATAGAAAAAAGACTAAACAGTTAATAGTGATTTTCTTGCTAGGGTTGCTGTGCAGAGTTGTTAAGGTTGTGTAGAGCCAAAAGGACACTCGTCTGAGGCAGCGAGTGGGGAGTACATCTTTCCATTCCACTTGCCTTTTGCTCAGTCATGGTCCTGACATGTGACCATATCCTCCCAGAAGAAGAGGCAACTTTTTTCGATTATCACGAAGATTCCATATGGTCTCATGATCATGCTGACTAGTGTGGCCCAGGGGTCATATATGTGCAGCAGGGGGCTGCTTTCACTGTTTCATTTATATACTTTTGGTATCATTTGCATTCATTTTGAACAAGCAAAAAATGTTTGTAATTTCAAAGAAAGTATAAATTGAAATAAAAATACAGTAATCCAAGAGGCAGAAGTATACAAACATATGAAGCATCAGACATACTGTAAAAAGAATCCTTCTTTGGCAACCAAACCGGGTTTTCTACCAGTGCAATTTGAGAAAAATCAGTGTGGTAATATATATGTACTGTTAATGTCTCAAATTAAAATAACAGCTGCTTCCCTGGAGTTTTTCTTAAGTGTCAGGATTTCTCAAGGAACTAAAAAAGAAGATTAAAGTGAGAAGGTTCCTTGAGGCAAACCAATACTTGTCACTTGAACAAGTTAACAGGATCAATTAAGGAGGTGAAAATGGGCATTGTGCACCATGGGAGCAGAACTCTCAAATCTCTGGAAGCAAACTCACTGGGTTTAAAGAGCCTGAAAATGAAGCTGTTTGATTTGTGTAGCAAGTTTGTATAGATTTCCAAAAGGAGATTAGTTTGGTGCTGAATTAATTTGACTTTACTACTAATGTGGTAGGTGATGGTTGCTGAAGCCTTGGACATATCCAGAGAAACCTATTTTGCGATTCTGATGGACCGGGCCTACAATGGCCCCGTGCTGGTGGGCAGCCCCCAAGGGGGCATCGACATTGAAGAGGTGGCAGCTTCAAATCCAGAACTTATTTTTAAGGTATGTTTAGATTCCTGGCTATGCTTTGCTCATTGATTGCTGTTGTAGAAGCTGTTAAATATTTTATGTGGCCTCTGAGACTGGTAGCAATATTTCTCTTTCTGGGACTTAAGGCATGACGATATTGAGTTCTTTTTCTTACTGGGCACCCAGTTGAAAGTTGAGTAGAACCGAGGTATTCACTATTCAAGGTTTTTTCCTCTACTTTTTCCTTCCCTCCCTTCCTTCTTTCCTCCTTCCTGCCTTTTCTTCCTCCCCCATTTCTTTCCATTCAACCTGCCCTAAGAATTAACCAGTGGAAGAGGACTGATATTTCCATTTCCTCTTGGTTACCTTTACCCATTCAACAGTATGTATGATCTAGAAAACCTTTCCAAGGAGACTAGATGTGACCTAGAGACTGCCTCGATGTCTCTCAACAATATTGATATAAAATAGAATCCTTCTAAAGTCCAGATTCTTCGTTTCTTTCCACTCTTTAAATTGTTTTCCTTTTATTGATATTAAGTTTCTACTCAGAAGTATTCGAGATCAAACCTTCACTAGCTAGCAAGTTTCTCAGTGTTTTTAAGCTTTATTTTTTGAATCAGTAAAATGAAAATGGGGGTAATTGCTACCTCATAGAATTGTGAGGCTTAAATGAGGTGATATGTATAAAGTGCTTCTCAAGCTACCTCAGCTATAGGAAAAAAATATATAAGGGCTTATGAACTATAATTCCAGTTTTTAATCCTAGGTCCTTAGCATCAAAAATTCAGATAAAAACTTGTTACAGAAATACTCATTATTTCATTTAGAAAGTGATTTTGTTTCCCTTCAAAATACGGGAAATTTACTTCTTGAAACTCTTTGTGTAAAGTACTGATACTTTGGTTTAAAAAATATTTTTATCAACTTTACATATTTCATTTAACTGCCTTGGAAGTTAAATTGAGACTTTACCTGCTGGTTTATGAATACAGGTGTTACCTCTGCACTTCAAAAGTAAAGCTTTCCTTTTGTAAGCCAAAATGGAGCAAAGCAAAGAAACTTTTACCTTAGGACACATCTTGCTAATGGATGCTCAGAATAAGATAAGGTAAAACACAGATGCTCACAGAGACAGTTCAGAGCTATGGCAGCTTGATGCTGAGATGCCGAGTGTAGTTCCCAGGGAAGGAGCTTGGTGGGGCCACTCTCCCTGTCCAGGGTGCATCCTGCCTCTGTAACGGCTCCCTGCAAAACAAATGCTGGACACTATTTTAGCTTTTTGCCTTTTTTTTTTCTTGTAAAAGTGAAAATCCTCTTCAGGTTTCTTTTGGTTATAGAAAACAAATAAAAGCGAAGTGCTGTAAAGCAAACTTTCAAAAAGCAGGGATACCTGTAACACCTAGCCATTTTCAAAATTAACATGATATAAAATAAGCAATTCCATTTATTAAGAGAATGCATGAAATAATGTACATATATGAACAGTGCTCAGTATCTAGGAGAAAAATGGCACTTTGTAAAGCTAAGGTATTCATAATTATTATCATCAATAGAATGTTTAAATCATAAGGTAATATTTAACCTATGTGACAAGCTTTAAACTTAACAGCAGTATTAGGCAGGAAAACCTTACTTTGGAAGGCTTCCAAAAGATGTCATAAAAATTTACTGACTAAATATTCGTCAGTGCCATCTGTATAGTAATTAAAAGTGAAAATTGGCATCCGATTGTTTTGTCAGCATGCCACCCTGAAGAATTATATAGTTTTTAGAAAGGCGGTTTTATAGATGGTCTGCTAATTAAAACATACCCTATAGGCATCTGCAGTAGCCACATTCAGAGAGCTCTGGAAATGTGCCACACTTTAATTAGTCATTTGCAACTAAATACGAAGCATTTTCTTTTGAGGTTGTAAGTCTTCTCACTTGACTGTCTGAATTTTGTTTATTTGATTCTTTTTTACCAGGAGCAAATTGACATTATTGAAGGGATAAAGGACAGTCAAGCTCAGCGGATGGCAGAAAATTTAGGCTTCCTTGGGCCTTTGAAAAACCAGGTACATAAACATTTGGAGGCCAGTGTGTCTGACTTGTTTCAGAAAACATTTGAAAACTTGCTTAATTGTCTCTAATGTTTGTGATTACCAGGAAACAAGATTATTAATTGTTTTATATTTTTTTCCTACAGTTGTATATGATGAAGAAATTATTTCCCTGATGTTCTAAAAGAGGATATTTATCGTGTATGTGTGCGTGTGTGTGGTCACAGACACATTCTTACGTATTTATCGTGTATGTGTGATATGTATGTGTGCGTGTGTGCGTGTGTGTGGTCACAGACACATTCTTACGTATGTTAGTCTCTATTTTTTCCATAGCATTGCAGCACCAGCGAATGAATTGTAAGAGGCAGTGTAGTGGTTAGAAGCACAGGCTATCGAGTCAGGCAGACCTGAATTTGAATCCTGTACTGCTACCCAGAGCATGTGTGATTCAGCCCATCTAAACGTCAGGTTCATTATCTGTAAAATGGGAATGATGAAATCCTGAGATGTTAGAATGAGGATTGAGTACACTGATGTGTGAAAGTGCTTATTCAGTACTTTGCAGAGGTCAATTATTGTTATTAATTGTACACATTACTTTGACTGCTATTGTTTCATAGCTAATGGCCATTTGAGTGAGTATGAATGGGATGAAGGTGATATTTTATTAAAAACAGCTTAAAATATGCCAATTTAGTAATTATCTCCATTGATTTCAAAGACAGAACAGCTGGCCTCCAAGTTATTAAGGAAGAGTCTGTCTCGAGGATCACAGTCTTGCATTGCCCTTGGTCTAGCCTGTGGAGCCTAATCATGTGTCTACATAAGCAAGCTTACTTGTCTCACAGCTAAGTCAAAAGAGCTTAGTGGCTATTGTTTTCCTCCTTCATTACTAAGTGTCTGTGTGTATCTGTGTGTGTGTTTGTTCTCCTAGGGCTCTGGGTGGTTACAGAGCATTTCCTTTAATTTAGTTGGGCAGCATCCCTTCAGCAAAAGAGTAGATTTTACTTTTCGTCTTTACTTTTTCTTTTGATTGATTCTATTTCTAGAAGTTTAAGAGTAAGAATAAGGCAAATCATAGAAGGCGAAGCAGAATAAGACTTTAAAGTACATATATGTTTAAATTAAGAGAAGAGAGCACCTATTTGAAGATGGAAGGAAAGGACCTTTTAGAAAGTAAAAGATTCAGGAGGTTAAGGGGAACAGAATCACCTGGGACTAAACCTCAGAAGTTATAGAGTCGGGATTCCAGGAAAAATTAGAGGAACTAATTGTCATTTCTGACAAAGAGATGCCAGGATACTGATCTTTTGAAAGGAAGATACTGGACGATTTCTAAGTAAGGGCTATAGTGGTTGATTTTACCTCTTGAGAATGAGACCACTAACTATATTATTTATTAAGAGACTTGTTGTGTAGGGGTGATGGTCACCGAGAGCCACGCTCCCACATAGTGGCTCACTGTGTTCTCTCTACTCAGTCCTACAGTCAGCTCCAGAATGTGCTCAGTAACCCTGTTTATGTTTTCCATATCCCTTTGCATATCTGTATTTCTCTTTGGCGTTTGCAGTGATACCTGCTGGATACTAATTTGTACCATAGCAGGGACTTTTTCGATCTTCCTCACTACTGTGTCGCCAGCAAAATGCCTTACATATACATGTATTAAGTGCCTAAGAAACAGCTGCTATATGCATAAATAACTGAAACAACACATCTAGGATGTTCACTTTGAAGAAATTTCTCAGGAGTTAGTGATAGGTAGCTGTAAGTGGCAGGAGGATAAATCTGGAGTGGGCCAGATCTGCTGACCACATAGTTTGAAAGCTCAGGAGATGAATATAACAGAGAGTTCCAGGGAAGGCAATAATAGTATTACATATGTCATAAGAGCCCCCGACCCCAATATGATTAGAGAAAATTAAGACTTATTTATAGCTGTTAAATGGCTGAATCATGTTTTCCCAGTGCCCCAGACACTCTAAGTTTTAAGTGAGTCAGCTACGGAAGGAAAATAAACGTGCACGTTCTCAGGGGTCATTAACAGCTGACTGTCATTATATTTTTTTAGCTTAGTGTATCAAGGAAAGGAAAGAAAATTTTTAATTCATATTTTTTTCTCCTTTCATTGCTGACTACATAAAAGGCTTTAAATCTTCATTTAAATCAGCAAAGTTGGAGTGAGCATTGAGTGGGTGCTGCTTGCTCTGCTGGGCCCTAGGCAGCTGAGACGAAATGTACTAGCTGTTGTTCTTCAGGGGCTCACCGAGCAGAGATCAGCCTAGTGACAATGATTATAGGAAGAGGGAATGTGAAAGAGAGGGAGAGAGAGAGAAGGTGATCTTAGTTGTAGGTGTGTTAGAATTTGTTCATTTAGGGATACTGGTTATATTTGTATAGTAGAAAGTGGAATATATGACACAGATTACACTAGAGTTATAGATTTGGGAATCTCTGCTTTGTGATGCTTCCTCAAGCCATGGAAGTTGGTGAAATGTTCCAGAAAGCCAGTGGAGGAGGCATCTGAGAAGAGAAAATATTTTAAATGATCGTTAAGGTTATCCATTGCTGACCCTTTGATAAAGAAACATTATCTTAGAGGTCCCTTAGATTCAGTATGACTTGAAAGTTACTTAATTTTCGTCTAGGATATGGTTTAGGCATTTAGAGATATTTCACTCATGAATGAACAACATATAAAACAATTATCTTATAAATTTAATATCTTTCCTGTGACTCATGCCTGTTGTCTCTAAAATGTGATGTAAGGTTTAACAAATGTAAATATCATCTTGCATAAAAACTACCAAGTATGTGTTCCTGATGAAAATCTACTTTAGCAAGGATTCGCTGAAAAGACTAAAGCTACAGGAGAGCTGAATATGACTAAAAATTTAATTTTGTAAAGAATGTCTTAGTTATCATCTATACTATTAATTCCTGAACACATTGGCACCATAAATTGTCAACATGTGCCTCTAGAATTTAAGCTGATGAAATGATCCAACTGGCCAAGTTAATACCCGCTCTAACACCTCTAGGAGTGGTTTGTACTTCTGGCTAGCTTTAAGAACCATATGTGAATGTTGATGATACTAGTTTCTGGAATGCAAGAAAAGTATTTAAAAATTTTTTAACCTGTTAAAACATTTTTGAAGATACTTGTAAATTGTCAGGGTTTCAACCATATGGCCTCAAGGATATTTGATTTTAGGCATTTTAATTTTTTAATTACTTAACCAATGGCCTTAAAATAACATTGATTAGTAGCAAAAGGAAAGAAAAATTTTCTCTATAGTATGGTTATGAACTGAAGAAGTAGATAGCAGTAGCAAACTGGCTGATTGTAAGTTACTAAGCAGAATGTTTTATGTTTTTTTTTTTTGACTAATGTTTAATTTCTTTTTAAAATTTGAACATATTTAGGAAGCGGGGGAGCTAATTTCAACTTGCCACAGGCCCTGCCATTTCCTATTATTACACCTGGTCAGACTGATGCATTGCCTACCCAGCCCTTATAGTCATTTAATGTATAGCCTCTGGAATAAGGCATATTCTGTCTCCAAGCCAGGCTGGTTCTCCCTTGTAGATCTTACAACACAAATCTAATCCTGCTCAAAATCCATTTATTGTTTCTCTTTGTACGAGAATAATTATAATAGTGAATAACCTCCCCTCCCCCCAATGCTGTGTTGATGTGTAATTACAATGACATTAATGTGCAGAAAATTCAGGTTTTATTCTAAGCTAGGTTGATATAGGCTTAAGAAGTTTTGAAGTGACCCAACTGTCCACTGACAAATGAATGGATAAACAAAATATGGTATATACATAAAATAGAAGGTTTTCAGCCTTGAAAAAGAGGGAGATTCTGACATGTGCTGCACTATAGATGAGCCTGAAGGACATTGTGCTAAGTGAAATTAGCCAGTCAGAAAAAGACAAATAGGTATGATTCCGTTTGAGATATCTAGAATATTCAAATATATAGTTATAGAAAGTGGACTGGGGGAGGGAAGAAGGGAGAGTCTTTTAATGAGTATAGAGTTCCAGTTTTGCAGGATAAAAAAGTTCTGGAGCTTGGTTGCTCAAAAATGTGAATATAATTGACAACGTTGAACTGTACACTTAAAAATGATTGAGATAGTGAATTTTATGTTATGCATATTTTTTTATAAAAAGATTTAAGTAGTTGGGATAAGTTCTTATATATTTATGCACCAAGAAGTTATTTCTATTATGTACTGTCTCTTTGTTATTAAGTTAGTCATTAATTCAACTAATATTTATTGAGTATTAACTCTGTGCAGAGGCTGTATAAGTAATAGTAGGTGTCGCAGTGTCCAGGAATAGACATTATGCCTCTCTCATGCAGCTCAAATTGCAAGCTCAAATTGATGATCTAGAAGATCTCTAAAAGTACAAAAAAATATTCGATAGTGTGTTACTTATCAGCTTTGCACTGTAACACAAAATCTTTTTGGATTAAAAAAATAAATGCTAAATAAAGGAAATCTTAAAGAGTATTTGAAAAAATAATGGGAGGATTGTTTTAATACTCTCAGAGTGGGACCAGCCATTTTGAAGTCTTACAATAAGTCAGAAGCTATAAAAGAGGGACATTATTATTATCAAATTCCCATGTGGCAGAAGTAACAAAAATATGGATAAAAGGTAAACATTAAAAGAGAAAAGTATTTGCATTTGTTATTAGATGAAGAGCTAATTTCCCTCATATAAAATCATCTCTTATAAAATAATAAGAAAAAGACTAAAGTATCAAAAAAAAATGAGCGAAAGTCATAGAAAAAGAAATACAAATGTTTCTTCAGCTCATGGAATTATTCTGAAACATTCCTTAATAAGATCGAGTCAAAACTATATATGAAATACCCATTTTTCACCTAACACACTGGCAAAGATCAGATAGGTAATGATCGTGAATTAGAACAACAGCCTCTATGATCCTGGTTTGTAGGAGGGGAGATTATTGACACTTTCTACCAAGAACAATTTATGATAATCTTTTATTATTAAAATGCCCACAACTTTTTTGCTCCACTCTTGGAAATGTATCCTATAGATGTTTAATCACATGTATGATATACATACAAAGATAGGTAAGGCAACATTTGATGGAATGTCCAATTATTGGAAACCAAATGGCTATTATTAAAGATAGGTAAAATAATGAATTATGATACATCCATATAATAAGATATGCAGCCATTTAAAAGAATAAGATTGCTTTATTTGCACTGCTAATGAAGGCTCTTCAAATTCTATGAAGGCATAGAAGCAGATTTGTTTTTTTTAAAAAAGATGAACGAAGAATATGTATGCATAGTTGCATATGTATAGAATATCTCTCAGTGTGGCAACAACTAATAAGGTGACTGCTGCAAGAGTTGAGATGGGGAGCAGCGAGTCCAGTTAAGGTTCAGAGAAAACCCTTTGTGTGCCTTGGGGACTTTGTATCATGTACATGTATTATCGAACCAGAAAAAAATTAATATTAAAAAATATTTAGTCTTAACTTATTATGTATGTTTGCTTACTTATGTCCACTGGGTTTCAAATTACGATTTTAGGAAGTTTACAACTACATATAAAATAAATTAAGATAACATGAATTACATCTCCAGGAATTCTTCAGTCAGTACTGGGACAAAGAAACCATTCTCAGTATTTACGCCAGAGAGACTTTATTCTAAGGAATTGGTTACATAGATACATAGATATGTGTAGAGCTGAGACCTTTCAGAGTGGACAGAGAGGCAATGTAGAGCTAAATAGCAACATGTAATTGTGGCTAACTGCGTGACTGAGGAACAAGGAATAAGGCGGTGGTGTTCTGTATTGGGATACAGAAGGTAGAACTCTGGTGGGCCTCTCTGGTGGGAGCTAAAGTCAGAGGAGGAGATGCTACACAAGGCAGAAAGAGAGGGGAAGAAATACCCCAGCTTTTGCCTTCCTCCCACCTCCTGTCTCCCACTGCTGCTTCCCATTGGCTGAATTAAGTTGGAAGCAGCTGGCCCAAGAGCCTTGGAAACTCAGCCTACAAGTGTCAGCTCCCTCATATACAGAGTAGAGATGGGATAAAGCTGTTTATGTTGGCAAAGGGAAAATCATGGCTAGGAGATAAGATGGAGCCGAGAATGAGACTGATAGCCAACATTCAGCCATGATTGCACAGTCTTGCTGTTCTGCATCACAGGCTCTGTACACCATAGGTATGAGGTTTCTAGGGTGGTATCGTGCCTCATTTATGATGTCTTCCCCTAGCCCCAGTTCACACAATGCCAGCATGTTATGATATAGGCAGTTAATAAATCTTGGTTGAAAAGAATGAATGAATGAGTAAACTTCAAACAGAGCAAGAAAAATGAAGTCAGGGCATCACGTCCAGGAAACTTTGGATATTCCTACTCTTTGTGGTTTATGGGACAAATTGTTTTCAGTTTGAAATGTGCTGTTCAGTAACTGTACTGTTTAGGACCTCAATCTTCCTCTCTTGCAACAATTTCCATTAAATACTCAGTAATTGTTGTTTAACAGATTATAGGTTTGGATTGATGAATATGATAACTGTTTTATTTCAGCATAATTAGGAAAACCTAGTCATTATAAACTCTCAAAATCATATTTACCTTTTACTTAAATAGAAATCGTTTGTATTAATGATTGTAACTCATATCATGGCATAACTCAGCTAATAGGGACATGATAATTTACAAAGATTAACAGCGTTTTTAGGCTGTACTGAAAATATTTTGTTTTCTTGATAATGGTCTTTTCTGGTGTCTAGAGGAAAGTTGAGCAATTCCTTCTAATGAATAGCAGTAGAAATTAAAATAATTATGCTTTTCTGTTTTTTCCTTCAGAAAACCTAACTGAAAATAAAGACATAACTTGTTATTTTGAAGGTTTCATTAATCCAACAAAATAAGTGTTCGTTTACTGCTTTGGTGTAATTTCATTTCACTTGATCGCATTTAGGCTGCAGATCAAATTAAGAAGCTGTATAATCTCTTCCTGAAAATTGATGCTACTCAGGTGGAAGTGAATCCCTTTGGTGAAACTCCAGAAGGACAAGGTAAAAAAAATAAATGAGAGAAAACAAATGAATATAATTATTCATGCAAACTATAAATTAAATTGTACAAAAGACCGCAGCTTTGCATTAATTCCTTTCAGTATTTTAATTTCTACCATAGTTTCAAATGTCCCCATGATGCAGTTGAACATTTCAGCACTTGAGTTTGTTTGTAGGCAAATGCCAAGCCTCAGAGGAAGCTACTTATGTTTTGTTTAGAAACATCCATCTACCAGCATCCTCTTATTTTTTCAAGGCCCATCACTATGGTAAAGATTTGAGTGGAAACAGGAGTCACTGCACTTGGGTGTAATGAATGTACCTGCTTTTATGGAATTGGAACCGCTTGAAGCTTTTTAGTTTACTTAAATATATATAAATTCACCTTGTGTCCGCTGTTGGAGTTCCATCATCATGGTGAAGTTCTTAGTGCCCTACTGTCCACCTCTTTCACCTTACTTGATTACCAGCTTCTGCTTCAGGTGGGAGAAGGAGGCCTTTTTGTGGGGAAGGTTTTTTATATCCATCAGGTACTTGTAGACTATAACTGTTTTATATCTCAGGACCTACTACTACTACACTTTGTCTTGCATACAGCAATTATTCAATAAGTTCTTATTAATTTGATTGAAAAAGCTTGTGTATGTGCATGTGTTTGGGGGTAGGGGTGGGAGAAAAGGTGGATAAGATAGTGATAACTGAAAGTAAGTTCCATGAACCTTATCTTTTTTGGTCCATTTCACCCCTAATGTCTTACATGCTAGTCTCTTTGCCTAGAATGTTGTGGTAAGTCAGTAAAGGGGGATTTGCCATTAGATTGGTTAACGAGGTAATCTGTTATGTGCATATACAACCAAGTTGTAGACCAAACTGGATGATTCAGTGTTTTACAGAGGGGCCACTGTTCAAATTATGGAATTGCCGTGTTCTCGCTACAGATCTAGGCTAAGTCTCTTGATTTGTTTTTGCTTTTGTTTTTGTTTTAATAGAAAAGGGTGATAAAAATGATAACTATCTTGTAGGGTAGTTCTCAAAATGAGGAGACTGGTGTTTGTGTAAGCATCCAGTGTCAGATACAAAATCAGCTAGTCCTTGACATTCATAATATGTAGTTCCTCTTCTCAAGTAGTACAACAGTATTCCAGGAAAGATACGGATTTCATCTGTTTGTCTATTTTGTTGTTGTTGCTATTGTTTTATTAAATATTTCAAATTAGGATAGGAAAAGAGCTCATGTTTAGGAAGCCATTGAAAATAATATATTTCATGGTTTACACAAGTGACCACCAGATAAAAAATCTGTGGTAGGTCATTTATAAACAAGCTACCTTATTCATAAATACTTTTAAAATTTCATCTGTCTGTGAAATCATCTCATATAGTGAAGAAAGGATGGGGAAGAAAACTTTTTAAACTCTTATGCCAGCCACTATGATAAACTTTTAATATATTTTTTTATTACTTACATTTTCTTTTTTATTACTCACAGCAACCTTGCAAAGTTAGGAGTTATCTCCATTTTATAGGAGATTGAAAAATTAATGTGACTACCCTATGAGCAGCTAGATTTGACCTGGAGCTGGGATTTGAACCCATGTCTTTCTCATTACAGTATGTATGTTGATTCTGATATGCCAGGCTGAGTAATAGTAACCTGCCCTCTTTTCTACTTTTTCCTTCTTAAATTATTAATTTGCTTTCACCCAAGCGATCTAAAAGTAGTCTTTGGTTTAGCACTATCAGTCAAAATTTATTCTGCATTGAGCGACTGATAATTAAATCCAAGAAATGAAAGAGAAAGAAGTTCAATATAAGTTCTTACAGGCCATATATTGCTTTTTAAACTAGTATGCACAAGCAACCTAGTTATTTCATATTCAAAAAAATGGAAATTCAGTCATGGAGTGGGATAAAAGTCAGGCTTTACTACTATTTTCATTCAGTCCTTTGGGAAGTTGACAGTCACAGATTGTAGTCTGACAGCAGAGAATAGGGATATGAGAACCTTTTCATAAAGGGTGTTTATAAAACTTATGAAATCCGAAGATTTCTTCTTAAATATTAAGAGAAAGAAAAATTCTTGACCTTTTTTTGAAGGAATCATCATAAAATATATTCCATGTATACAGTTCATTAAAACATCTTATGTGATATTTTTAAGAGCAAAATTATCTTTAGCTATTAATTTGTTCATTGTACCATAAAAGTTCAGCTGTTGAATTATAATCACAATTAAATGAGTGTGTTGGTTTATAACTCTAATGAGCAGTAGTCAAATTAAACCCAATTAGGAAACAGTGATTAATGACCAAATGTACAAATTGATCTTCATCATTGTCACAATCCCCTAAGCAATTCTTTATTTAGGAGCTGTAAGAGCAGTCATTTATATCTTAGCAATATTGATAATCTTAATATTTATTTTTTTCACTTATATCAGTAATAGCAGAATATATAACCTTTTACATTAAAACTTTGATTTAACAATTACTCTTTTAATTTAGAAGTTTAAGGAGCTTGGCATCACACCAAACATTTTTACTTTAAACTTATTGTAGAGTCTCTTTGTAAGAGAATTTCTTCAGTCTTCCACTGCTTGTTGAAGAACATATTTTAAAAATCCAGGTGATTGATGATAACTTTGTACAACAGGTGATAACTAGGTTGAATGAAGAGCAATGGCTTTGATAACATCTATACTGTGAGGTCACCCATGGGAAATTTTTGATGTGGAGAAAGAACTGCAGTCTAAGAACTATTTTTTCCAATATCATTAATAATCTGTTTCAAAGACTATAATTTGACAATACTGACTGTCATGGAGTTTAGTGACTATTGGGATTTTAATGGTTATTAGTGATGGAAACCAACATGAGCCTAGTTTTTGTTAAAAAGGCCCCGGTTGAGTGAGGGGGACTTATTTTACCCATATAACAGGGAAGTCTAAAGAGTGGACTGGCTTGAAACATGAAGAGAATCAGGGATTCTTGGGTCTTCCAGCCCTCCTGCCTCTGGAGGCAGCAAATATGACTCCTAGTTCTCATCTCTCCTCCAGCAACCACAGCAGTCTTTTCAAATGATTGGTCCCACTTGGGTCACATGTTTATACTTAGACCAGTCACTGAGCTGGAATTATATGGTATAAGAGAAAGGCAGTTTCTTAATAGAAAAAGAGACACTGAATCAAAACATATCTACCAGAATGAGCCTAACTTTTATTGAAATGAAAGGAAACTGTTAATTAGTCAAAGAAAAATTCACTGTTTTCCTTGCTTGTCCAATTGCATTGCCAGAATTAATTCATTAAAACTGTGACTGAGTTAGAGGGAAGGTTTTCTTTATCATTATTTATCTACTTATACATTCATTCATTCATTCATTCATTCATTCATTTTGAAAGCCATTGTGATATTGCACATTTTATTTCATTTCTTCCCACTGTCAGCCAGATCTTTGTGCATACAGACTCCTTTTTTTGGTGTCTTTAAAATAATGTTTCTCAATGGGGAGAATGGACATTTTGCCCCCCAGAGGATATTTGCAACGTCTGAAGACATTTTTTTATTAAGATATAATTGACATATATAACATTATATTAGTTTCAGATATATAGCATAATGATTCAATATGATCACCACAGTGAGTCTAGTTAATACCTATTTTGTTTGTCACAACTTGGGGTTTGGATTGCTACTTGTTTCTAATGGATAGAGACCAAGGATGATGCTAAACATCCTACAGTGCACAGCACAGCACCCTCTTCCCCCATTATGTCAGTAGTCCCGAGATTAAGAATTCCTGTTCTAAGGCATCTTCATCAGTTGGAGCACAAATCAATTAACTGAGCTAAAGGAATGAAACCCAATCCAAAACTGAGTATCTCACCAATATTCCATGAGGATTAAGGCTGGATTAAAGTTAACTGGCACATCAAATCCCTTTCTTGCTTCAGATTAATTTCCCTAAATAACCACCCTGTTGCTTTGTGTTAGCAAGTGCCCATGTTGTTGGTGGGTGTTTCTCTCTGTTTCTCTCTTTATGCACAAGACTATTTTCAAGAACACTTTCAATTCCCCCCATCCCCAAATCTACCTCCCTCCTTGTATCTATTTTCTCTTTTTGCAGCAACTAAAAAAAAGTTCTAAAATGTATACAACTCTTAGAACATCAATATTTAATGGAAAGTGGGACTAATTTGAAAGTATCAGCATTTTAAGACCACCTTGGCAAAGCACATTTCAATAGCACATTATGGTTATTTATCACAAATCAAATGCAATACATTGCTTGAAGACAGATTATTTTTCAAACTAATTATGACAATCTTACTTCTTGCTGGTTTTATGTTTCTTTTATTTGTGAGTCTGCCCTCTGAAATGTATTTTTCTTTTGTTTAATTCTGTGGCACATTCTTCTGTTAAAACTCTAGGGTCAGAGGCCGCTAACTGCCAGTCATGTTCTTCATGGAAGCTGTTGAATTAGTGGTTCACAGAATCTCACACCACTGAACAAAACAAAAACACCCTATGAATATAAGTACTGCAGCTTTCTTTGATATTTGTTCAGAAGGAAAATTCATTTGTATAATCTATCAAGCATGTAACAATGTGCTTTTGATGGTGAAAATTGTTTTATAAATATTAATAGGTATGTTTTTTCACCCATTTTGTACACAGAATGGCCTTTGTTCAAGTTGAATTTTCTAAAGAATTGAGGTTTCATTAATGTGACATTGAAAATTTCAATGTCTGAACCAAGCTCAGCACCTCCAAAAATACATTTTACCATAGTTTGTTGTTTTATTAAATGTAAAAGCTAAGGTTTGAGCAAGCAAGTTTATTTTATTGCCCTGCTGTTGACATGGACATCAATCAATTTTTTAACACACCAGCTATAAAAGTGTACTTGGAGGGGACTTACAGGGGGGAAATAAACATATGAGTCAATCAATATTCAGGGATTAATCTACTCCTTTTGTGCAAGCTGCAAGTTTTTGTTTATTTTGTTTGTTATACTCTTTTTTTTCAAGCTAGTAGGATGCACTTTTCGAAGTTTCTCCTTCACTTTAATTAATGTGATACCTGAAGCTATTCTATACAAATGTGACAAGAACTGTGACTTATCCAGGATTGGCAACCTTTTTCTGCAAAGGACCATGTAGTCTGTATTGCAACTACTCTCTGCAGTGGGACTGTCTTGGGACATCAGCTATAGAAATACATAAACAAATAGATGTGGTTGCATTCCAATAAAACCATATTTACAGAAATAGTGAGGTGATTGGAGGGACATACTTTGCCATATTCTTACTTAGATTCTCATTTGGGGCCGTTTTATACCAAGTTTTACATAAGACTTAGGTCGTACGTAAAGGTGTGGCATTGATTTGAGGGCCAACAAAGGCATGGCTTTCACCCGCAGATTTTAGACAGAAATTTCCTTCTCTATCAATTACAGAGCCTGAAATGCCAACCATTAAAATCCTTCCTGTGGGAAAATTTTTAGGTATTCTGAATTTAGGTAACCTAAACAGATGTAAACTCCAGTAAGCATTAGTTTAGATTTATTCTAAACGGAAGTCTAGGATTATAAGGGAATGGAACAAAGTACAGGTCATTTTTTGTGAGAGGAAGAGAGGAGAATCGTATAGCCTGAGGTGCAACAGTGGGAAGCTCTGAGTATAAGAAAGCACTGTGCACGTAGAGGATGGCAATGGTAATGTTAATAACCAGTGAGTGCCAATTGTCTGTGAAGCTAAGTGCTTTGTATACATTCTCTCCTTCCAGCAACACCATGCAGCAGAAAATACTCTGCTTACCATTTTATAGACAAGGCCACTGAGCCGAAGAGAGGTGATTGGCTACCTGACTAGGAAGTGCCAGAGTTCTAATTCATACCTGTGTGTTTTTGATGCTGGAGTATATTAAAAGATCAAGTTCAAAAAAAAATTTCCAGATGATACAACATTATAAACTGAGATAGGAAGGCAGGAAAGCACTTTGTATCTTCGGGACTACTTTTAAAATATTAAGCAAGTAAAACGAATATGTGTCTAAGACAGTCCATGTACCTCCTTATTCTTGCCTCCTGCCACCCTCCAAAATGATTTAGGCTTTGAGAATGATAATTCAGTTTTGGATTACCTTTCTAACTCCTAAGTCTTATTTACTTCTTATTTATGTAGTGTTTTTAACTTCTCAAAGCCCTTGGACATACATATATTGACTGGGTATGTCATATACTTTTCTCTACAAAGAGAGAACAATTGGCAATTGGCAAGGGACCACTATAGATACACTTTTTATCCCAGAAGTATGATACTTGTAGATACATCTTTATTCCTCCCTATAGATATATTTTTATCTCCTAGTAACCATCTTCAAGCTCTGGTTAAACTCTAAAGTTCTCCGAACATGGCCCCCAAATAGTGAACTCATTTCTGTACTTGGCATATACATCACACTACAGGAAGAAGCATCTTTTGAAAATCTGGCTTTGCAGGCATTTAGTTGGAACTGCCTTCTGAACTTTGCATGCATATCCATTAATTATGCTGTCTCTCAAGTAGCTTATAATTGTAGTCTTTGTAAGAGGCAAAGATCAGCCTGGACCTATTTTGATTTACTAGTTTATTGATCTTGACCAAGAATTCTTTTATTTGAAACTCTTCACTTAGGAACTCAATTTGATAGTCTTTGCCCATTCATTTCAAAGGTGTCAGTTATAAGTAGTCTTGCCAATGAGTAATGGAGGAGCTACAGTTAGTAACTGATTAATTAAAATGTATGTGGAAAGCCAAGAATGAAGTTGCTTTTTTTATTGATTATTATACCGGTTATTAACTGCTGAGAAAAAGACATTATAGCAAGCAGAGAACATTGGCCAATTCCTTTGATAATTGTAATCTATTCTAAGATTATTGTAAGATACAATAATCTTAATTGTATAATTAAGATTTCAGTATTCTGGAAAGTAATTACTCATTTATTCCATATATTCAAGTGTGTGGGTAAAGCAGTTAGACATTTTGTGGCAAGACTAAAGACTCAGGCAGATAGTAACTTCCATGTGAGATTCTCCCTTGTCAGTCAGTGCTACTTTAAGTAATTCGTGGTTTAGACTTTTATTTATGCTGAGTATTCTTGTATGCCAGTTCTGCACAGATTTGTATCAAAGTGCTTAGTTATTATGGTAGAGAGGTCCTTGGGAAAAACCTCTACCTAAGGTCTTTAACCTCTGGATATTATAAGGTAACAATATTTTATTTTAATAGGAAGCATATGGTATTAACAGGCAATAGTCATTGCTTTTGAGTGAAATTCCTGGGTGGTTGTTTCCTTTTTAAGAATTAGGTGCCTCTCTGTAATGCTAGAGGAGAATGGGAAACATTTCTAAATTCTCGATCAAAGATCCCTGCCTGTCAATATCCCAAGTAAAGTAAAAGAAGGTTATGATGGAATGTCATCATAGATAACTAATTTCTACCATAAGGGATATAAACAAGAGGCTTCAAATCCCAGAAACCAGTGTGCCACTTCAATGCACTGCTCTCTCTCCTTGATTGTACATATAGAAGATTTCCTGTAAATCAAGGAAAGCAAAGCACTCTGTGGACCATTGTCATCACCGAGTTTCACTATGTCCAAGGCCCTTGGGCACTGAGAGAGTTGAAAAATTTATACCAGCACCAGAGAGTGGAGACAGTAGTGCTGATAGTGCCTGGCAACCTTCTATTGTATCTGACCAGTCTTGGTCTTTTAGTGTTTTATAACTCAAATTAAAGGAGTCATATCATACCCACATTAAGATAATGGTTTTTGTTTTAGCAGACCCCAAAGTAAGTATATCAGCAGTCTGGGGATTGTTATTTCCATTTTCCAAATAAGAAAACCGAGGCCCAGAGAGGAATAGGCTGGTTATTTATTTATTTATATCAAGGTTACAGTTAGTTAAAGATCAAATAAAAAACTGTTGATTCTGACCCAGTGTTCTTTCTACTATATCTTTCAGAAATATTAATGGGGATACTGATTAAAGAAAAATTTCAAGAAAGACAAAGGACGACAGCAGGATTAAGCATCATTATTTAGTCTCTGTTTGTATGGAAGGGGAACGTGATGAACAGTAGTTAAATACTAAAAATTAGAAATATAATAAGAATAGCTAATCAAACCTGTATGTATCTATGGCAATCTGTACCTTTTAATGGGTGATGGTAAGTTATATTGTTATTTTATTGAAAAGAGACAAACAGATATAAATTACTATGCTCTCTATTACAATGTAAGACCTTGAGAACAGGGACCGTGTCATGTTTGTCTTTGTAGTTCTAAAGTTTAAATTAAGGTTAAGAAAGCCATAACAGCTTCTGCTGCCTGTGTCATGAGGTAGAATGACAGTATCATACCTTTCATACCTTTTTTTTTTTCTCTCGTGCCTCCTCTCCTGGGGAACTTAATTTGTAGATCCTTAAAAGATATTCATGTACATTCCTTTTTCATTTTATTTAGTTGTCTGTTTTGATGCCAAGATAAACTTTGATGACAACGCAGAATTCCGACAAAAGGATATATTTGCTATGGATGACAAGTCAGAAAATGAGCCCATTGAAAATGAAGCTGCCAGATATGATCTAAAATACATAGGACTAGATGGGAACATTGCCTGCTTTGGTAAGAATTCAGTTACATCAAAAGAATGATTTGTGGAGTTTTGCAGCATAGGAACCCCTGATTTCTGAAATATTATTTCCCATTAACAAGTAAATATCAGGGATTTTTGTACCCCAAAAGTCTTAGGAAACAATTCAGACTTTCTTCTCAAAGTTCATTTTGGTTAACAGTCACTGGTTTAAAGCAGGGTTTCTCAATTCTGGCAGTATTGACATTTTAGGTAGGATAATTCTTTGCTGTAGGGGCCTTTCCTCTACTTTGTAAGATATTTGGCAGTATCCCTGGCTGTTACCAGTAGCATCTCCCACTTGTGACAACAAAAATGTTTCCAAACGTTGCAGAATATCTTCTGATAGGCAAAATCACCCCAGTTGAGACTACTATTTTAATGCATCTGAGATAAAATTACTTTCTCAAAGGAAGTAGAAGAGAACATAAAGTTTAATCATTACGTTCAAATTGCCGCTTCTGTGATAACCAAATGATAAAATTTTTAATCCATTATGCCAGTTTATTAATAGAGCAATAGCTTTTATTATATTCATCTGAATTTGTGAAAATTTTATTCAGATTATTCAGCTGAGACAAGAATAGATCTGTAGAGGCAATGCAACTTTTGTTATTGTCCACAGCTTATAGTACTAAGATTTATGTACTTCTTTATTTCTAATGGAACCAATTCATTGCACTGAAAACTGAGGTCTTAATCTTAATGGAATTAAAATAAAAAAGATTTGTAGCTCATTAAACAAACATTATCATTATATTTATAACTGAAAAGACCTCATCCAATAATTCGTTGTTTAATACAATAGAAAATGACATCCAATTACAAGTGATACCAAAAGCTCTTGCTTTGTATTAGAGCAATAACTATAATATACCAGATCATTCACAGTATTCTGATCTTAATAGGCTAATACACTACCGATATTTGTAGATATTTAGAAAGAGAAAGATATAATGGTGTGTTTAGAATAAATTAAATATGGATTCTGTGTAGCCTCTGTAGCGGTGTGCATGATTTGACCAAGTTAACCTTAAAAGATATGATGAACACATTTCAAATTGTTTTAAGATCTTATATAAACCATTTGATTTTAATTGCCCCAGAATTAATTAAATTAGTCACTGTTCGTAGGCTTGTCTGGTAAATTCAAGGGTCAGAAAAAGTGAAGGTTACTTTATCTTGAAAGCCTACTCAGTTCAGAAGTTTTTATTTTTTATTTTTAAGGAAAGTAATTTTATATAATTAAGCATAAGGCACAATGCATCAATAAAACTTAGTTCTAGAAAATAAGAATTTCAATGTTAAAACTCTTTACTTAGTTGTTTAAAAAAAACTCCTAATAGCACATTTTGGTTCTGGTTTTAATGACCAGGTTGCTAGTGAACATTTATTAATTTGAAAAATGAACAGGAGGGTAGGAATATTATTTTGATGCTATTACTGGTTCATTTATTTTCTCACTTTATCCAGGTAACATATAAACATACATGGCTGCACTGTGTAAAAATGTATGGAACCCTATAGAAGTTGGGACGCCCAACCCCAGAGGGATGCCACATTCAAACAACCATAATCTCAGCAAGCAAAAAATTAAAAGAATTCCATTTTTTACTTGTTTTTTAAAAGATTAAAAAGAATATGATTCATTGGCCCTAGTAACTTTTATAGCTTTTTTCTCTTTCCCAATTCTCTTGAATTCTATACTTTACACAACCTAAGACTCTTTCTTCTATTACTAGCCCAAAATGATTACTTAGCTTAAACTCTTCTCTCTTTTCTATGTTCCATTATTGATTTAACTTCATAAACCCAGCTCTGCATTTCCAGGATTTTTTGGTTATTCTTTGTACATACATTTCCTGATTCATTATTCTAAAAGTATATGAACTTATCTGGTTGAATGGAATTCCAAACAGGGCAGAAATTGGCTGGTCAAGACAGAGTTCTCTCTTGCAATATGGGAGAGGGAAAAAGTTTATGTATCTTTACATGTTGCTAAATTTATCCTGTCTTGTGTGCCATTTGCATTTTACAGTGAATGGTGCTGGACTTGCCATGGCTACTTGTGATATCATTTTCCTGAATGGTGGGAAGCCAGCCAACTTCTTGGATCTTGGTGGTGGTGTAAAGGAAGCTCAAGTATATCAAGCCTTCAAATTGCTCACAGCTGATCCTAAGGTAACCTTTCTCTTTACAGGGAGATTGTGTAATGTTCTGATTACTCACCATCAAGAGCTATCTTGTTAGGGGTTAATAAGTCAACATATGTACTATGCAGCCTCAGATGCAAAACCTGTGCCTTGTATCCCATTGGAATATATGATGATTTAACTCATTTTGGATGAAAGGCTTATAAGTGCCCCCAGGATCTTATTTCAGAGACTGTGCTTACAAAGTTCTGAGAAGTGACAAAAAATAAAAAAGGTGTAGTGCACCAAACAATCAAACATTGGTTGGCATAAAACATTATTTGGGTAATATACACTGAAGCAGTTAGTCCTACAATTGCATGACGTAGAGAGGACTCAGTCTTAGATTCCTTCCATAAATATGCTGAAGGTATTATCATAAGATTAGAGACAATAAAATTATAGGATTATATTATCATATATCTCTGGAAAATAATGACTTCCTTCCTTCCGTATACTTTTTCATTTTCATCTCTGACAGTTACATATGTTACAGTTTGTAATACATGCCCTAAGTAGCAAATAATATTGCTTCATGTGCATCTTAACTAGAATGTAGCTATCATTCATATGCTAGGTGCGTAGTAGGCATTCAGTAAACATTTACTCAATCTAAGTACCCATATTTCTTGTTTCTATTATAGGTACTCAGTTGTATATGATAACAGCTTTAGGTGAATATATGTATCATCTAATTCTCTTAACAGTTTTGAGGAGTAGTGTATATGCCACAACCATTTGATTTTAAACTTTATTGGAGAATCATTATCTTAATACTGTTACAGTATCTAATATATTCTTTTTAAAATTTTTTTTATTTTTCCATATAGATGGTATACAATATTATATTAGTTTCAGGTGTACAACATAGTGATTAGACATCTAAACAACACAAAAAGTGATCACCCAATAAAGCTAGTACCCATCTGACAATGTACATAACAAAAAGTGATCACCCCAATAAAGCTAGTACCCATCTGACAATGTACATTGTTATTACAATATTATTGACTACATTCCTTATGCTATACTTTTAATCTCTATGACTATTCTGGAACTACCATTTGTACTTCTTAATCCCTTCCCCATTTTTCACTGACCCCATACCCCAATACCCTTCCCATCTGGGAACTCTCAAAATGTTCTCTGTGTCTATAAGTTTGTTTCTGGTTTGTTGTTTTTGTTGTTGTTATTGTTATTGTTGTTTATTTTGTTATTTAGATTCCACATGTATGTGAAATCATAGGGCACTTGTCTTTATCTGACCTACTCCACTCAGCACAATACCCTCTAGGTCCATCATAAAATATCTTTTCTCATTCCTTTACGTTTCATCTCTGTGTGTTTTAATCTGAATCAAGTCTCTTGTAGGCTTATGTAAAGGTCTTATTTTCTTATGTAAAGGTCTTATTTTCTTATCCATTCAGCAACCCTATCTTTTGATTGGAGCATTTAATTCTTTTTCATTTAAAGTACTTGTTGATAAATATGCAGTTATTGCCATTTGTTATTCATGTTTTGATACATATATTTTTCTTCTTAAAGGAGTCCCTTCAACATTTCATGTAATACTGGTTTGGTAGAGATAAACTCCTTTAGCTTTTTTCTTGTCTGTGACACTTGCTCTTTATCTGTCCTTCGATTCTAAATGATAGCTTTACTGGGTAAAGTAATCCTGGTTTTAGGTCCTTGCTTCTCATCACTGCATAGTTTATGCCAAACCTTTCTTGCCTGCAAAGTTTCATTTGAGAAATGGGCTGACAGTCTTATTGGAGCTCCCTTTTAGGTAACTAATTGCTTTTCTCTTGCTGCTTTTAAGATTCTCTCTTTGTATTTAACCTTTGGCATTTTAATTATGATGTATCTTACTGTGGGCCTCCTTGCGTTCATCTTGTTGGGGACTCTCTGTGCTTCCTGGAGTCGTATGTCTATTTCCTCCATGCACCAAGTTAAGGAAGTTTTCCATCATTATTTCTTCAAATAGGTTTTCAATTTCTTGTTTTCTCTCTTCTTCTTCTGGTACTCCAATGATATGAATGTTGGTATGCTTGATGTTGTCTCAGAGGTGCCTTAAACTGTCCTTATTTTTGGATTCTTTTTTCTTGTTGCTGTTCTGATTGGATGTCCTCTGCTACCCCATTCTCTAAATCGCTGATTTGATCCTTTGCTTAATCTACTCTCGTTTCCCTCTACTGTACTCTTCATCTCAGATATTGTATTCTTCATTTCTGACTTGTTCCCTTTTATGTTTTCTATCTCCAATTTTGTGTTTTCTGTCTCTTTGTTAAAGTTCTCACTGAGTTCATCTACTCTCCCGCTAAGTTTCTTGAGCATCCTTATGACCAGTATTTTGAACTCTGTATCTGGTAGATTGCTTGTCTCCATTTTGTTGAGTTATTTTTTTTCTGGAGTTTTATTCTGATCTTTTATGTAGGGCATGTTTCTTTGTCTCCCCATTTTGGCTGCCTCCCTTTGTCTATTTCTATATATTAGGTAGGGCTCCTAGGTCTTCCAGTCTTAGTAGAGGGGCTTTATATAGTAGATGTCCTATGGGGCCTGGTGGCACACTTGAGAATGGTGCTCAAGGTGTGTCCTTTGTGTGGGTTGTGCATGTCTTTCTGATATAGTTGAGTCTTGGTTGCTGTTTGCACATCAGTGGGAGGAATTGACCCTTGGGCTGATTGGTTTGAGGACTAGCTGGTGAGGGATTGACCGTACATGGCAGGATTGACTTTAGCAGAGCTCTGGTGCCTGCCTAGTCTATTCTTCAGATGCATCCTTCTCAAATATAGCCCTGGGTCGTGCTCTGTCTCTGTTGCCGGTTTAAGCAGGCCACTCGGTATGCTGGCTCAAGGGTTTCCTAGGAGGAGTCCAGCTGCAGGCCAAGTACAGCTTCAGCCTGTGTACTTCTGGGGTTGCCTGTATACTCCTGGTGGCAGATGGCTGCCACCTGTGCTGGGCTTATAGGTGCTTTGAGAGGCCAAGCTGCAAAATGAGGCCTATTGCTGCTAGTGCTGGGTTTGGGGCTGCTCAGCAAGAAGTATGGGGCATGTCAAGGCCAGATGCTGCTTATTTGGGTTTTGCGAGCCTTTAAGAGACTTTAGCAAAGTCCACAGCGTGAGTCAAGATAGGCCATTTGTATAGAATAAACCATGGAGGCAGCTTGGGTAGGCCCGCAACTTGGAAGAGACAAGGTCTCAGGAATTCACTTGGGCAGAGCGAACTGTATTGTCCAGGTTGATGGAGACTCAGGTATGGCGGCCACCTCCATCTGCACATTGAGAGTAGGGATGGCTCAACAAAGGAACAGTGAATACTTCCAGCACTTCTGTCAGCAAATAAGCTGCCTCTCTAGCCCTCACCCTGAAGCGCAACAATTCAGTGTGACTCCTTGTATGTCCCTAGCACTTCTTGAGCAGCTGTCCCAGTGCTGGAGCCTAATCAGAGCAAGAGAGTCCATCACTGCGTAATTTTGGGCATGGGCCCTTTGACAGGAACATCTCCAACTCCATCTTACTCAGCTACAATCTCCACTGGTTTTCACAGCCAGAGATTGTGGGGACTTCTCTTCCTGGCACTGGAACTCTGGACTGGAGCACCGTTTGGGGCCAGGACCCCCTTGCTCTTCAGTGAGGAGAGGTGGCTTTGCAGCCAAAATAACCCTCCCAGTTATCGATTGCGACACATTTGGGCCATTTCCTGTTTCCACTCCTCTTACCAGACTCAAGATAACCACTTATGCATGTCTCCAGTTGTAGGACTTCTGTTCAGCTGGATCTCAGGCAACTTCCCATAATGGTTGCTCTGTAGTTTTGTTATAGATTTGGTGTGGTTACTAGAAGTTGCATGCACAGCATCTACCTTCTAAACTGAGGGTTCCCAACATTCTAGGCCATGGACCAATAGCGTTTGTGGTCTGTTAGAAACCAGGCTGCACAGCAGAAGGTGAGCAATGGGCAAGTGAGCGAAGCTTCATCTGTATTTGCATCCACTCCACAATGCTATTTTCACTGCCTCAGTTCCATCTCAGATCATCAGGCATTAGAGTCTTATAAAAGCTCCAGTCCCTGGTGCCAAAAAGATTGTGGACCACTAGTCCTCTTCTAATATATTCTTTTGGTTCCTGACATTTATGAAAGTCGGTAAATCTGAACCTATCATTAAGAAAATCATAAATGAAAATACCAATTTTTTTTTTTTTTGAGAAATGTGGTCTGAACTTAACGTGGAAGCTTCTCATTAATAAGTATAATGACAATAACCTTCTTGGGTTCACATGAATAAAATTTTGTTTTATATAAGTAGTAGCTTGTTTGTTTTCATTATGACTTATGTAGTTGGTAACCTTATGTTTTCGCTAACACTTTTCCTTCTGACTCAAAATAAATGGTAAGATATTAACAGCTGCTTATCTTTAATTCTCCAGTGCTATTCAGAAACAGCAAAGTCACTGAAGTTCAAAGTTACCCAGCTATGAGCAAAGTGTTTGGAGTTGAATTTTCTGTTTACATAAGCACCTTATTTTCATCCATTAAGTGAGAACATTATCAGTGACTCCCTAATCATTTATTAATTCCTTTATCCCTTCTTCCTACCCCTTTCTAAGAGAAGAATAGTTTTCCTCCCAATGATTTTCAAACAAATTGAAATCTGTAAATACCATGGATATAATACACTGCTCTTTATTTGAACCACAAAGTACCCAAAGGACAGGCAACTGTAATGAAATACTGAATTCTTTGGTGTCTACTGAAGTTCAGTGTTAAGAATAATTGAGAGCTATCGAAGGATTAAATCTACCAGGACAATCATGGCATTTTTAAAAAATGTATTTTCTTAGTGGCTGATCCTGAATTTTAATTTTGTGAAAGTATAGGAGGGGTATGGAAGATCACTTGAAGAGCCATTTTTTTTTAAACAATCACTTCAAAAATTTTGACTTTACCTTATGGAATATTTTCAAATGCTTGGAGTATTTAAACTTTTTTG